GTCTCTCTCTCTCTCTCTCTCTCTCTCTCTCTCTCTCTCTCTCTCCCTCTCTCTCTCCCCCCTCCGCCTTTTTTCTTTGAGGCTACCTCAGATATTAGGGTGCCCGCCTAGGCGGCTTTTTATTCCCTCCTAAAACCTCGGTCCGGAAGATTGTAGGAAGTGATAGATCAGTTCTCCAAATTCCTGAAAACAACCCAGTAGTACTTTTTTTTATTATTACAAGTATGATGCCTTCAAGTGCATCTAGTTCTCATAATAAAAAAATCATATTAAGCTTTTATTTTATTTTATTTTTTATTTTCTTTTTACCTGTCTGCATTTTTTGATGTTACTGTTTAACAATGGGACAAATTATGGACCTGCACATTCACATTTGAAAAAGAAAGAGCTTGACATAACAAGTGATCATACTAACAGTTGAATGCCTTTATTGATCCTACGCCAAGCATACTCCTGCCATCCATTCGGAAGAGCATCAATGAACTCCTTGGTAAGAATTGTAGTACTATTCCGAACCTGCCCATGTCAAATCACTTCAACTTACTATGGAAGGATAGAAGAAAGAGCACTCAACTCCTGATGTAGCCAATCGGGTTGCAAATTTTCCCCATTTGAAATAGAAAATGAAGATCTCTTACCAGAATACATGCAAAATGTGACAGAAAATATAGAGCTTTTCTATAGTTCTAAACAATAAAATTTTTGACAGCCTGAGTAATAACTTTCAGTTTTCAACTTTTGCCATTGTCTTCTTGTCATTGACTACAAGACAAGCCAAATTTTTAAATGAATAGAAACAATTACAGAGAAAATGACAAAAAGTATAGAATGCAGAAAGATGCTTCAGTGAACAGCCACAATATCAAGTGGCTCAATCATTCACAGCCAGCATGTGCCTCAACAAATGTTAGATACAACAAGAGTAATTATGCCTTTGGGCTCCCTGTTCTGGCAATGCTAAAGAGTCACAGCAACTTAATGACAATGTCCAAGACCAAAAAGCTTACTTGTTCCCATGTAGCCAATGCTTCACATAGATTAAAATCAAATGATAACCCTTCAAGCTCCCCAGTCTTAGGATCCTCCTGGAATTCGTAATTCAAAAAAAGTTAGGACAGAGAAAGAAAAAGGAACGTTGGTCTATCTGATAAAATACGCACGATGAAGCAGAAAACTCACCCATTTGGGTACAGTATCACTAGGAAAACCAAGTGTAATTTGGCAGTGATCTTTGCTGAATGCTTGCAAACCTAAGCCATTTGCACGCTGCATCGTATACAGTACACAACATGAGAACTAATTCATTACAACCATAAAACACTTCTAACATTACATCCTAAAAGTTTTAAATTATCTTTAAAATGCACATGAGATCATTCAAGTCACACAGAATAAAACGATGTAAGAGCAGAACAATTTGGCACAATCAGCAACAAAATCAACAAGGTCTCAAATGCCTTGAATCATGGGGAGTAAGCCCTCTTCTTTGTCAAATGGTGGCAAATAAATTAGACCAGGCATCCCTAAGAAAAAGGATATCATAACCCAACTTACACATTAAACATAAGGGAAAATCAGATGAAGCTTCCAATGTCCAACAACACCTGTCTGACACTGATACTACTACAAAAATTGTTGATTGATGGAATGGGACAGGAATATGGTTGTAATATAGGCCGGACATGGTCCTTGGAGTAAGCCTAGTAATGGACATTCCTGTCCTGCAGTTATTTTTGCTTCAAAAGGAAACACTTGATGGAATTAAAGAACAAGAAAATGCTAAAGCAAGAATAACAGACGAAAGCAAACTCAAGAGAAGGTATTATGGTTTTAGAATTAGATAGAAATTATTGCTTACAGTGATTAATGATATCATTAGTATAATATGTTCAACTTTTTGTTTCATCATTACTTGAATGATTATTGTCATTTATAAAGAAGTTCTGTATCCTGCTTCAGCGACAAAGTTGGATCCATATTTTTTATGTCCAAGCAAAATAGGTTACAGTCGTAAAATCATAGTGTGTACATATACAGTAAAATCATGGTTTGTAAGTGTGTACATATACAGTAAAATCATGGTTTGTAAATATACAATATGTGAACAGATTTACATACAATTTTACAACATGGAAAATTAATAGAAAAACATTTGGTCAATTGCTAGGAAATTTTCTAACTCAACCCTATATGCCCAAAAAATTATTTATGTCCGGAAAAGACAGACTCTCCTGACTACAAGAGTATAGCAAGAAGGGAATGTATGTAATGAGACCATTTACTTTTGGTATAAGGAAGTCACAATCATCATTCGCTTTTAGATATGAAATCAAGTCGTTGGAGGTGTGTCATTGATAGGAAACAAAGTCCAAAGTAAACTTTTTCAAACTATGTAACTGATTTTAAATTGTCAGATTTCACATCCAATGGCTAAAGGTGATTGTGACTTCCTTGTACTAAAAGTGAGTGGTCTTATAGTATACAATTCCAAGATTATTTATGTTAAGGAAATGCTTTGCCAAATTTGCAGATATATCCTATCATCATCATTGTCAGAGCCTTTTCCCAATTAATTAGGGTTGACTATATAAATCCTAGTCTGTATCCCAAATTCATGGAAAATTTACCTGGGCTTGGGACAGGTTAAGGGAAAGTTTAAAGTCCTCACCCGTCTTAGACCATGTCGACAAATCCTATCCTACATAAATTATATGAAATCACTGCAGTCAACTTTAACCACAATTTGCCTTTTAGATATGATATCCATAATGCCTAGAACCAAATAGCAATCCAAAGATTCCTCACCACGCACTTCTTGAAACTTGTCTGCAGAGATTCCAAAGATTTCACGTCTTCATCCGAGAGTACATATTTTTGGCCTAGCAAGACAATCAAGAAGAAACTTCAGCTAGCTCATAACAAATACATAAGCATGAACTAAAACAGGCATGAGCCTTACAACAACACAAGCTAAGTGGAAGAAGGCTAAATGTCATATAAAAATTCATATCAATCTGTACCAATTGTCGAGACCCCAACAATATAAATGATAGTTGCAGCAATCCCTGCGGTTACAGCCACTGCCAGTCCCAACTGCAGAACCTTCATTTTATTACCCCCTGATCAATTACTAAAAAAGAAAAAAAAAAGATGTTAGAAGCACATAAAGTTAGATTTCTGGGATTGCATTTGAAAAGATTTCCTGATACCAATTAAATTAAATGGAAAGCGTGAGTCGCCAGTAGCTAGTTTACTTTAGATTACCATGCATAACAATAAAAGAAAGAAAGCCAAGCTAAAGCATTGTTCAGAGGTAATGCATATGATTAAATTTGGCTAACACATTTTTCATAGCAGGTAGAGTTTGTCAACAAATACTCTTTTGAAGCACAAATATGACAGGCTGTTGAAAATAAACTTGCAAATTGAATCAATTGGCTTCTAGGGTTTCTCCGTGCACGACTATAATGTCAAAGATTGATAGCAGAATAGGTATTAATTCTACCCTCACAAAATGAGTTTGCCCTAGAAAGTTTATACCAGGACTATCTATAATGTCCCTTGTTTGTCAGTGGTCACAATCAGTGTCTTCGAAATCGGCCAGCGCCCAGTACTCGGCCCTGGCTTGAGCCGAGTTATTCAGCCGAGTCCCAGTGGAGTTGGCAAAGTCCTATACAAATGGGTGAAAAAAGGAAATACCAAAAATAGGAAAAAAAATAGATAAAACCCCGCATCGCCCATGTCGTGCACCATAGCTCATTGTGACCACCTGTTGCACTCGATGCCTCCAAAATCTTTCTCTCTTCTCTCTTGGCTTCTCATATCAGCCCCCAACAGCTTTCTCTCTTCTCTTTCTAACCTCTTAATATTGGTGGTGAGGGTTGGGGCTTTTCTTTGAGAAAGAAGAAAGAAGAGGATGCAAGAGGAAGACAAGAAGGCACACAATCAAGCTGAGTTGCACAGAAAAAGAATGACAAACCCAGTTTTGGATGCCTTGATGCATCAATCCCTAATGTGGGAAATTTTAGAGAGGGAGAGGGTTTTTGAGAGAGAAAAGACGGGAAGGGAATGGGCCCTTTTAGTAGAGAGAGAGAGAGAGAGATGAAGAGGGGGCAGATCTGGCCCCCTTTTAAACGAAGAGAGATGACCTTGGGAATTTCCAAGAGAGAGGAAAAAAAGGGGGGCAGATCTGCCCCCCATTAGAGAGACACGAAATATGAGAAAGACTAAGAAGAAAGGTATTTTACTTCTACTAAGCTTACTTCTACTAGCCTCCACCATTGACCGAGGCCGAGTAACTCGGTCGAGTCCGTGATCACTGGTCACAACATCCTAGCCAAACATCTGGGTTGCTAATTGGTAGCCTTGTTCGTTACATTGCATAAATTCCCCAAGTCTCTGGCGGGTTGTAAGGACCACATCCATCCTCCATCGAACATATGGTCATCTCCCCAAATTTCAGAGTTACATCTCAAATTATTAAAAATTAGGTGAAATTTTCTTTAAATTGCAGGAAAGATACATTACATCAATAATTGCACCACCGTGATGGGAAAGAAATGTTGATTAACAAGTGTTATCCATAACTTTTTCATTCAGAAAAACAATGTTCTTTCATAAATTTGTCAATTATATCAAGCTTAATTCAACATTATCAGCATCAGAAATTTTCAAATCACTGAGCTGAATCATTACCTATAACCTAACAAAAGATTCGTACAATGCTGCTCTACGCTGACAAAGGAATTGGCCTTCTGAAAATTAAAAGTGAAAAATATAAATGAAGGTCATCCTGCTCCCTTTAGACACTGTGGTTGTGATCCTAGCAAGATCAATCACATTTGCGATGAAAGTATTATACACAAGGTACATACATCAAGAAACATCTCATTTTTTTTTTTTTGAGAATGAAAGAACTTATACTTATTTTACAAAGTTCTTAAGTCACCACAAGAAATTCCACAGTTAATAACCAAACCTCACATAGGAAATATAGCAAATCTCCTTAAAATTTTAGGAAAAGAAACACTTAAGTATCACAATTAGTTATGGCCCTCATTTTCAGCAGATTCAACTGATCCATGCTGAGTTAAAAGTAAGAGGCATTGAGTGAAAAACTTAATCTATAATCCAATGTAATAAACTAATTGTTATAGACAGCATTTTCAATAGGTTCAATTGAGCCATGCAAAATACAACAATAAAAGACATTGAACGATTACACTTGATAATCAATCATCCAATGGAATTAACTTGCAAGAAGAAATAGTGCCCAAAATATATCAAAAAGGCATAAATCAAGCAAAAACCATAGCAAAATTCCATTATTCCTCAGAGAATAAGCGGAGAAAATTGAAGGACATGCATTTCCACGGAAAGAATTAGCAAGAGGGTTCATCAGAGGAGAAGAAAAACCTGCTTTTTTTTCAGTCCATAAATGAAACGATGGCTCTTCAGATCTGATGCGGAAAACCAGTAATCGTATATCGAAAAAACTGAATCTATTGCTGTAGAAAAAAGATAGACTCGGGACCCGATTCCAGAGAGTGGAGAAAAAGGAGAAGCCGAGTTCGTTTCTTGAAGAGGTGAAGCAGTTCGCGGAGCAGCTCTTCGAACTGCGTCTTCCTGCGATCAAGTCTGTAAAACACGCACAAATAGAACCAAATGGACGCGCGCCCCGCTCCGTAAAACTTAATCTACTTAGACCCTCAGGTCCAAGGAACCCTGTGGACGCCCACTAAATTTCAAAAGCAATAAAATAAGCTGCTCTAAGGCCTAGGGTAGGAAACAAAGTAAAGCCTCACCACGAGCATTTTCGCCATCCGTTTTAGTTTTTGTTATTAAAAAAAATATCGACCTTTTTTTTATACTTCATATTGATAACAATTGTTTTTAAAAAAAAGACGAGCATTTTTGCCTTCTGTTTTAATTTTTGTTATTACAATCCGTTATTATTGACATGTCCCTTTTTTTAGATTTCATAACAATTGTCTTTTTAAAAAAAATAAAAACTATCTATTTTTGGTTTTTCAACAAAATTTAGCTTTTGAAAAACATAAAATTTTAGGTTCTTCAAAATCCAATTTTTTTTTTTTTTCTTTCAGTAACCTTGTTTCTCTCAAATACTTGAAGCCTTGAGACTCCTATAAATACTTAACAGATTTACTCCACTAACAAATGAAAAAAAAGAGTAAATTTTTCAAAAATAAAAGACAAAAATCAAACCCTATCCAAAGTCACGAGTAATGAAGCTTCTCATAATATTTGACTCCGCAATCTACTCTAAGGAGTTGGGTCCCCTATTCTTCCCAAAACCAACCAGTTGTGAAGAAAGTGGCGGTTGTACTGTAATCACTTGTGAGCCTTTCCTCTGGGCTTCTTCTTCTTCTCATCTTGCTTCCGTATTTTTGGGGTTTGCCCCCTCACTTTACCAGTTCGAGCCAAAGAACCGTGAACCTTTCCTTTGGTCGCTAAATCTGGTGATTTTGCCGCTGCACCAAAGCTCTCCCCTCTTCCTCATGAGTTTGCGCTTCTCTCTCCTCTGTGACAAATAACACAACCCCTGATGAAGTATGAGAGGCCAGAAGCCCTAAAATGGAGATCCTGAAACATTCATGGCTTGATGGTTTAAACCAGAAAAAGAGAGAGAGAGATGAGAGAGGAGGGAGAGACAGGGTTTATTTAGAAAACAAAATTTCGGTTATTTGAAGAACTGAAAATAAGTAGTTTTGTCTTTTTAAAAAAAAAATTATTACGAAGTTCAAAAAACGTACATATAAGTAATAATGGAAATTATTCGATATTTTAATAATAATGAAAACTAAAATAGATATTTACATAATTTTTCAATATACAGCTCGTATGGATAAGTTAATACCAACGTTTTAAAAATCGCCTTCGACTCGGATTTCACGAAAATGGACCGGATCGGATCGGTTTAAAAAACAGGAATCGTCCGATTTTAGAGAGAACCGGACGATTCCGCACAGTGACTCGCCGATTCACTGTACGGAATCGGCGAGTCCGTGAAGAACACGGGTTGCACAATGTTCTTTACGGGATTCTTTGAAATTTGTCATTTTTTGATCATTTTTCTTGTTTTTTTTGGCATGTGATCTGATTTTCAGGCTGTAAACAGCTTTATTCAGTTTTTTCAAGGATTAAATGGTGGAAAAATTGGTTGTTTTTGGATCACGAAAAAATCGGGGTTTAGGGTTTCCGCTTTTTCTGAAATTTCATGCCAAATAGGGCATGAATCTTTCAAAATTTGTAAGCATTTTGATCTTAAAGCTGTGAATCAAAACCTTTTGTTACTAATTTGTGATAATCGTTGAGAAAAACAGAGTTTTTTGGAGATTGAAGGCTTCGGTTCACAAAAACAGGTAAGAACTTTGGGTTTTTTCTTTTTTCCGCCATTTGATTTATTTCACGACATATTTTGAACAAAATGAGTTCAATAATTAGGGTTTTTAATCTTTATTGTGTTT